CAGATAATGTTAGGGGACATCAGAGGTTAGAAGTGGTAACAGGGGCAAAGTCAGGGGACGTCAGAGAGTAGACAAGGTAGTCAGGGACAACGACGGGGATTCATGAGAGAATGTCAGGGAGAGACTGGAAAATATCAGGCATTGACAGGAGAACGTCAGGGAAATTTTTCAGAATCATTGTAGTAGTGATTATTATTATTACATAGATTTAATGTCTCCCAGTTGATTAGATACACAAGAGTATGCTCTACGTTCGAGAAATTTGTAAAACGAGGCAAGCTATTGACAAACAAGTTTATGAAACAAAAATTTCGTTCAAACTCATCATTTCACAAGTTCTATTGTCGACACAATGACCTTATCAGCAAATACAATCTACACTTGGTCCATTAGTTAGAAATACTGCCTGACGTTCTTCATACTGATTGTTAGGCCATGATTTACACACTGGATTTCTTACAGATTTTTCCTTTTCCCCGATCATGTCAAGGTCGGCAGGGGATGTTTACTCCTTCATGGCACCTGATCCTACCTCTGATGTTTTAGAGGTCTGTGTTTGCTCTGCTCCCGATTCATATTGTTTCAGAAGACATTTGAGCTAGATTACTATTCCTTTTCTCCATATTCGATTGAAATAAATTACCATCATATTCATAGCCAGCCCAAAGTCAAATGCATTTTCCTGTTCACAATGAGAAGAATACTTAATTTAGACCCCAATTTTCATATAGCTGCAATAGTTATGGACATATTTTTTTTTATTTTGAGTCTTCAATGTAGCAATGTCATGACACTTTTTAATAATGTTTTAAACACAAGCAAAGTCATGGAGATTTGTTTTAAAATATACGAAAAATACATAATGTCTCATTGATTCACTATTTCCTCGGTTATTCAATGGTTAGATATATATAGAAGATATTCAATGTTTTGTAGATGAATATGGAATTTATTTCACAAGTGGGACAGGATTTTTTGATATTTTCACGAGTGCGAAGCAAGAGTGAAAATATGAAAAAATCCTGTCTCACGAGTGAAATAAATTCCATATTCATCTACAAAACATTGAATTTTCTGTTTATTACATTTTCTTTGATTTTCCCTTTGCCAATGTCTTTTCTTAACACAGTGTCATAGGCTTGACATCGTAGTTGAGCGGTTGAGACGTCACAGCTTAGCAGTTCTGAGATCGAAAACATTACATAGCATGGCTTTTAGCAACATATTTGGGAAGAAATTTGCAGTTTTAGCTCTATCAAGATCGTTAATTACTATCTCTATCTTATGACAGCCCAAAAATTATTTTTTACTTACTTTGATATCCTTTCACACTGTGAGAGAATACCATTTTGATATCCTTTCACACTGTGAGAGAATATCACTTTTATTCAATAAATAAATCACAGTATTTCACTGTTGAAAATGTAATAAATAACAGTGCCCCACACTTTGTTTTGTTATTTCATATTTTATTATTATTGTTATTTTATATTTGATATTATAAGATAATTTGAATTGGATAAAGGACTGGGTACGTTAAGCCCGCTCAGCATCCCTTTCTCTAAATTTTTGAAGTTTTTTTTTCAAACATGCATATGTCGACATGTCCTTTAAAAATCATTTTATTTTTTTGAAATTACCGTTAACCGTTTTTCCGTCAGAGGTCTCGAAATATGGATTTTTTTTAAAAAAAATTACAACTTTTGACGTGATAACAGCTTCACGGCGTTACTGATTTTAACGTTACGTAAAATTAAAATCTCTAAATTCTCTTAACCGAAAACTATTTACTTTAACCTGCCTTATGTTCCAGAAATTTTTTTTTAAAACTTTTATTCCAATTCATCGTATCTTCGATAGCTGGAACGAGTGTAATAATTTGTAGGAATATTATTTTCTTACGAATCAATTTCATCACGCAAGTGATGAAACTTGATTCGTCCTTACAGACGACACAGGGTACGTATTTCTTTTAAAATTTTGCCAAAATATGAATAATTTTATGCAAGTATTTCCTAATATTTTTCAACCATATATCAACCATTATTCGCATTGTCTATGAAGTTACATTAAAGTTTTTAAGATACATGGATCAATTTAAAAAAGAAGTCCCAACTTTCAAAAAAAAAAAAAATTGGAACGTCAGGCCCATATAAAGTTGTCAAAATTGAATTTTTAGCAATGAAAAGCCATCTTCATCACTCTCCCTTTTTAATTCCAATAAATTGCGACACAATTATTTTCGTAATTTCTATTTTCATGTCAGATGCTCTAACCAGGAGCAATCCCCCAATATACTTATACACAACCACACGTCTTTCTATGTTAAAAAAAACCCACAAGGGTAGACCTGATATAAGATGTAATTTTTAGTACAAATTGCAGAGTCCTGATTGATTATCGTAACTTGCGTCTCGGTGTAAAAAAAAATTAGATGTTTTTTTAAAGGAACAATAATTTGATATACATGTATAAATGCGGCCATATCGAAATATAGAATTGAAAAGGGAGAAAAACCTCCAAAATAGGGGAAATCCGGAATATTAGACAGGTTTTGAACGTTATATAAACAAAAGGGCACATGAGTTGAGAAAAATTGATACCTATTTCACACACAGAGAAACCTTAACAATTAATAGATACAGTTAATAAAATGTAATCGTGCTTTTAATTTTTGCCGATTTTACAGGGCTGATAATCGGTCTTAACGTACCCAGTTTTTTGCAATATAACATGAGGTCACGTAAAGATGCTTAACTCGCATATTTGTTCAACAGATTTCTCAATAGAATTATTTGAAGATCTATGATCTATGATAAGATTTGAATGAATGGAAACATGTTAACCGTAATAAAAATAAATTGTCTTTTTGTCATTTTCTGAAGCTATTCAAAATGAAATATTTCTCAATTGGGTCAAATTCTAAATCAATGATGTCATCAACTAATCAATGTACCGATGCAACAATGTATTGATTGATTTATGTTGTTTACGTTCCGTTCGAGATTTTTTCACTAATAAAGAGACGTCACCATACACCGGTGAAGGGCTTCAAACTTAGCCCTTTACTCAACACATAGGGCTTTTGAGCAGGAAGGGATCTTTATCGTGCCAACGCTTACTGGAACAGGACACCTGTTTTTAAGGTCTCATCCGAAAGACCCGAAACTGACACTTAAAAGTGCCGAGCGCTTGACGTAAGAATAGTTGCTACCCTTTTTTTTTTAACTGAATTAGGTCATTCCTGCCCTATCACGAGAATGTGTTTGATATAGAAAACGTAGGTCTAATTTTTTTCCCCAAATGATCAGGTTAAAACCAATTTCTTTTCATCGGCTATTAATAAACCGATAATATCTTACGGGTTTTTAGAAGTACCTCTGATTATCCAAATAAATTCACGTTTTATTCCTTTTTCTCAATTCTTGATGTTTACTCCAACAAGCGCTGAGAATTTTGTTGGATTTAAACAATATCAATGTATCAAACGCATTTAACATACAAATAATCAATCGAGAGCGAGAGAAGTTTTCGATGCTGATTAAAAGAATGTTTTCTGAGAAGATTCTCTTCTTACAAGCTAAATTTCAATGATAAGCTGATATAACATACCTATGTTAACTTTTTAAAACATTTTATTTTTTTAAACTTAAACTAAAACAATAGCCATAATAACAACAACAAGAAGTTTTAAAGATTGCTCTAGGTAAGAAGATTGATTGATTGATTGATTGCATGTTGTTTAACGTCCCATTCGAGAATTTTTCACTCATATAAAGACGTCAGTAATTATTAAAAAAAAAAAAAAACATGTAAGAGGAAATGAAAAAAAAAATAATTTAGATGACACTTTCGACATGCATTTCATTATACTATATATTATATATATATATATATATATATATATATATATATATATATATATATATATATATATATATATATATATATATATATATATATATATATATATATATATATATATATATATATATATATATATATATGCAAAGGTTTTCTTTTATATAACTCTTTTATATATATATATATATATATATATATATATATATATATATATATATATATATATATATATATATATATATATATATATATATATATATATATATATATATATATATATATATATATATATATATATATATATATATATATATATATATATATATATATGCAAAGGTTTTCTTTTATATAACACTTTTAAAAGCAACGCGTATCTATATCTGTATAAACACGGGTTCCTCGCGTTATAAACGTTCGACGTAATTTCTCAGTGACGTCATAAAGGGTCGACGCGCAATCAATAGATCAAACTTGTGCCGTTGAATTTGAAAAAATAAAGCATTTCACACGTTAGAGGTTACAATCAGGCTTATATATAATATGAGTAAGTCACAAATGTAAATATACATGTAAGTAATAAGGTATCATTTTAAAACATCTATCGGGATATAAATTCGGGTTGGTATTAGATCAAATTGACCATAAAGCCCTTCGGGCTTTATGGAATATGATCTCGTGACCAACCCGCATTTATATCCCGATAGATGTTTAAAAATGATACCATATTTCTTAAATATATATATATATAATCACCAAAGTCACAAACACTAGAAATTGTCAAACTTTCACGACGCCTTGTCCCTTCTTCATGACAAAAAATTAAATAAGTCATAAAAATAAATGAAATAGAAAAACAAAATCAACTAGCAGTACTACAAACTATCAAACACTACCTTTTTTTCTTTTTTCTTTTTTTAAATTTTACTTGTTTAATTTAAAAGTTGATAATTAATTGCTTTCAAAGAATTCCGAACTCCTATGAAATACGTTCGATCTGACTGGTGTAGTACTCTGGTGAAGTGCGATATCATAATGAATGGATTAATGAATATAATAGTTAAATGATAATGAAAAAAGAAGGTAGACTTATAATGTCTTATTTTTGATATATATGATAAAAAGAGATCAGTTGACAGAAAATAAAGAAGAAAGAAAATTTAAGTAATGAATTCGGATTTTTTAAGATTAATTTTGAAGTGTTTTTAGAACTCGGAAAATAGGAATAATATAAAAAATGCATGCAAATAAAACAAATGTGTGGGTTATTTAAGAATTCAAAATAATATGGTCCAAATCTTCACCATCCTTTGGATATTTAAAAAAAATCCACTCTTGCACTTTCTACGATTGAATAGAAATGAAGAAGGTGAAGGTAATGAACAGTGATCGAAAATGATTTCCGCTCATTTTAGATTTTGAATCAAACCATTCATCCATGATCCACATGTCTGTCGTTTATCATTGCACTCGTTTCTGGACAATTCACGTCAGACACTATTAAAGAATTAAGGAATATGTAAGCTTTTGGTGTTCGGATGACAATGTTGAAATAATAGATCTTAAGAGTGTTTTTATTAAAACATGAACCATTTGCAAAGAAAGATAAGAATGCTTAAAATCCTAAAAAAATATCAAGATATTTCTTTTATTTCTTGTATGATCAGATATTAGATATCTTAAGAATTGGTTTTGTGAAGATTATGCACTTTGCAGGTATTCTCCGAAACATCAAAACTCTTGTTTAAATAGCAGAATATGTACTAAAAGGAAAAAGAAATGCATGGTAACAAAATATGTGAATTTATTTTGACTGCATGGTCGAAAATTACGAAAACTGGTCAGAAGGATATATTGGTTATATGCACTAAAATTAGTGTTCAGAATTACTCAACCATGAAATATATGGCGTCTAGTAGAAAACATTGGTAAAAAGCCCAAAACACGTGTATTTTGATGGAGACGGGTTTGTCAACACATCTCATGGTACCCCTTGATACACTTGAGGTATACACATTGTTTTTTCGATATTTACAGACGATATGAACTTCTTGCAATCAGGGTACAGTTGACGAAAGTTTCATGAGGTCTGGCTATTATATTGCCTAAGTAAGGACGAAAGCAACAATGTGTTGATGTGCAGTTTGTTCTGAATTTTTCCACCATGAAACATCTTACCTGTCATCAGAAAGGACCCAGAAGGCTTTCCAACCAACCGTGGCGATGGCGTTGAAGCGTAACAGCGCCACGTCAAGATCGGGCTATTCATCCTGCCATCTGTATAATCGCCACCTCACTACAACTAAAACTGCTACTAATAGAGTAATAACCGTTACATTCACTCCAAAACTGAAAGAAACCATTGCGCAATTTTTGGTTGTGAATACGTCAACGTTACGCTGGTGTTCCTCCCACTCGTGCACGCATGCGTCGTTTGCCTTTTTTTCAGAATGTTAACCCCCAGCCCAATGTAGGCAGGGTTGTCAAGATTTTCTAGCAAACATTCACATTTGCCCACTCGACTTCTCTCCGGAAATTCCATCTTTTCCTCATCGAACAGCTGCAAAGAAACAGCTGTGGGATTACCTGGACGATAGGGATCGAAATGTCCAAGCTAGTCTCTTTCATCTAAGGGCTGCCTTGTCGGAATGGTTGAAAAATATCCCCATTAGAAGGATAAAAACACTGACGAAATATATCCGAATAGAATCAAGGCTGTGACAAATGCGCGAGGGAGATATAGGAGATAATGAGAATTTTTGATTTACACTTTTGGGTGGTACCATTATATGAGATTAAATAACTCATGAATTATCAGTCAACATCAAATAAGATTTTGGTTACATTTTTATTAAAGATAATTTTAAATGTTAGATAGGAAAACTGGAAAATACGTTTGAAAGAATAACATCTTTTCACTTCAAAATTTTACCCTGTGTTTCTTTTTCCTTCAGTATATTTTATAAAAAGTTTTTTGTGTTATCATTCTTACTCTGTGATGGTATTTAAAGGAAAGTGATAAGAAACCTACAATGGGTTATTTGTTGAATTTAATACAACAGTGATATAACAATATAATATCCGAGAATTTAGAATAAGGAATGTAATATATCAATCTTGGTCTTAAAAAGTTTAGAAGTATGATAATTATTAGTGAATGATTATTAAAAGAATTATTTCTGCATTTGCAATAAATTATTTTTTTTTTTAATTTAGATTGATTTGAAGGAATACTTTTTGAAAACATATACATAAGAATTGAGAATATTGATTTATTCAAAGATTTATAATTTAATTGTTATGTCACTGTTACAAAATTTAGTTCCTAAAGTCCTAAAATCAAATTGTTTAAAACTTCTTAAGAAAACAAGTGATATCATGATAGAACTGGATATTCATATTCTCTGTCATTCCTATTATTTAGCCTACCTAAATATGTTTAATCTATCCAAATGATTCCGTGTTATTACAAGTTTATTTGCATGTATATACAACGTAGAAGTTAAATATGATCTTTTGATATCAGCATTAATTTTTAATAATTTAAAATCATTCAAATAAATTGAAAACAGATTAAACTTAACTCACATGGTAATTGTGTAACAGGATTTCCCTTATCCATAAATCTCTTACGCCAAATCCCAAAATAGCAACCAACATTCAGGAGTATCAGAACTCCAGCCAGAACTGAGAATAGTTCCAAGCAATATCTGAAAATTATTTCTAAAATATATGTCTTTCTTATGATTTTTTTTCCATTTCCACTTATCTGTTAAATTTACATTTTATTCTGTAAATGTTACGCTTACATAATTATGTCAAATTTATACTTTAATCTGTAAACTTACACTTAAATCTGAAAATTCTACACTTTATTCTGTAAAATTTACATATCTAACTGTAAAATTTACACACTAATCTGTTCAATTTATACTTTAATCTGTAAAATTTACACTTTAATCTGTAAAATGTACACTTTTAATTGTAATTTTTGCAATTTCATCAGTAGAAAGTACACAATAACCTGTATAATTTATTCACACAATCATTTCGACATAAATAAACACGCATTTCAACGAACAGACCATGAATCCTGCATTAATATAAGCTAATTTCAAATTTTAGTCGCCCAACAAATAATGTGGAAAATAATTACTTATCAGATTTTAGATGCATTAATTGAAGTCCAAAAGTAAAATAACCAATCTAACATGAATGAAAAACGTGAAGATAACGAACAGTAATTTATCTCAAAAAAATCCACAAACAAAATAAATCTGTGAACAGGGCATAAATAAGGAATTCCGGAGATGATATCCGGTGCCTAATTTAAGTATTCGTTTGTTTGTTGTTTAATGTCCCTCTCGAGAATTTTTCACTCATATTGAGACGCTACCACTTGCCGGTGGAGGGCTGCAAATTTTGACCTATTGAGCAGTGACTTTTTTGTGAAAACACCAACTGCGACATGGGACCTCGTTTTATACAGTTTCATCCGAAGGACCGGTCTCCACGTCCCCCAGTCGGATTCGAACCCGCGCCGTAAGGATCAAACTCCTTACACCGCGACTCTAGAGCAAACGCTCTAACCACTGCACCACGCGGGCGACCCTAATGAAAGTGAAAGTATCATAAAATATTGGTAAATACATGTATCATGAATACAATTGATGTAAGCAGCAAATCAAATAGACATATCTTCTTTAAGAATATAATATCTTTAATTTTGAATTGTTGTGCATAAATTGATTGAAAGAATTATTTCAATAATTTAATTGTAGTAAGCAAAAAAAAAAATGTGCATGAAATTAGTTTTAATTCGCAGACTCATTTGATGAATTTACAACTTAAAGTGGAAAAATCACGGATAAAAGTGTGGAAAATAAAACGTGTCAATGTAGCACATACGCTTCCGTACTAATGGATTTTTGGTTTGTTTTGATAAATTAAAGCGATTATATATTTTAAATATGACAATGCTGATTTTATCATGACAGTTATTGTCAATATAATTCACATTTTCTTTGTAAAACATCAATAAAAAAGGTGAAGTGAAATGTGGAGATAACGAACAGTAATCAAGTTCAAATAAAAGTCCAATGTAATACAAATTTGTCGCCCTCGTGGCGAAGTGATTAGAGCGTTTGCTCTAGAGTTGCGGAGTAAGAAATTGGTCCTAACGTCGCAAATTCGAATCCCATTGTAGGACGTGGAGACCTGGTCCTTCAGATGAGACCGTATAATTGGAGCTCCCTTGTTGCAGTAGGTGCTAGCGCGAAAAAGATCCCTCATTGCTAAATAGCCCTGAGTGCCAAGTATAGGTCTAAAATTTGCAGCAATCCACCAGCAACTAGTGGCGTCTCAATATGAGTGAAGAATTCTCGAAAGGAACGTTTAACAAACAAACAAACAAACAATACAACATTAATGCAGAGCAAAGATGGGCCTCAAAAAATATCAGAGGAGGGATTAGGTACCATGGACGAGTAAGCATCCCCTTTCGACCGGTCATTCACTCCGAATGGTCCTTGATCGGGAAAACAGAAAAATCTGTAGACAATTCAGTATGTAAGTAATGGCCTAACAATTTGTAAGAAAAACATCAGTCAGCATTCCATTTTGGTTTTTTTTTTTAAATATATTTGCTAACAAGGTCATTGTATCGACCATATAATTTCCGAAATGTAGACTTTACAAGATACTGTTGATGTCCCTTTTTCATTAACTTCTTTGTTATGACTTGCTTCGATTTAGAAATTGTTTGTATGTAGAGTATGCTCTAACGCATCGAATCAACTCGGAAACGTAAACTCCTCAAGTGATAAGGTATATTGGTACATAAAAATGAAGTTTACGATAGAAATTGATGAAGTCATCACGTTTATCCTAAGGTTTTGTCCTTACAATTAACGCCTTTTTCTCGTAAAATATCCATATCGTGTATGAAACTGTTTCCGACTCTGTAGTATATTTATTTCGAGTTCAGAGGTATATATCGAATCAGCGTACGAATGAAAATGAATATTGTTAATTGATAAAAGGTCGTCGATATATACAAATGTTGAATTGAAAGCCACAGCAAGAGACTTCCCCATTCATGTGGAAGTTTTTGAATAAATTCTGCTTCATATGAATACAAAAATAGGTCTGAAGATAACAAACAGTGTTTTAACAGTGAACAGTTAATACTATCCTCTGAACATTTCGAGGAGTGACGCTTTTAAACACCTTCCAATTATGAAATTGTTTATCTTAATTAAAATATTGATTTTGTAACCCAATAGAGAATTATCTATTTTTTGAAATTTTAAGACTTTAAATGTAAGTTTAGATATTAAATTTAAGACTGTTTTCTTAGTTGACATAAAATAAATCCAAACTGCAGATTTTAAAGGAGATTTGGCACAGATTTGAAGTTAATATTTTCTATAAAAAAAAAATAAAAAAAAAAAAAAATTAGCGTGATATCGTGACTTATATCTTGCTAGCGCATTTCACACCGAAATAATATAAATTCAGAAACTGATTTTATCTTAAAATTATTAAAAACTATGAATTTCGGGCCGCGTTTGATTGACACACATCCTTGCACTTTCACAAAGTAAACTTTATTTTTAATATTTAAGAAAAATTGAAGATATTTTGTACATTTATGAAAAAAACATATTTACTTCTATCCGAAAAAATTCATTGTGGAAATGTGAGAAATGAGAGAGTTGCATTGGACAAAAGGCAACATTCGGACCATCAAACTCTGAAGATAAAAGAATTTGAAAGACCACATGAAAAGTGTTATGGATCCAGCTGACAATTACAGTCTTTGTCATGCTCATTATTACAACTGCATTTTAGAAGAATTTGGTTTTATATCCGTATCAGAAGATCAAACTTATACCCCCAATTACATTTTAACAGGTTGGTAACAATTCCCCTGTAAAGAGATCATCTCGCTAGAGCGCGATTATCCCTCTCTAGCGGGAGAAAATACATCTCGGAAACCCGAGATTTATACTCCGATTCCAACTGTAAACGTGTTAAATACAGTAAAAGGAAAATCCGGAAGTATGTCTACCCATTTCTTAAATATTTATTGTCTCATCTCGATAAATTTGCTTCAAAATATTGCCTCTACTGCTGCATACCTTGGAAATTTGAATAAGATCATGCACAATAGTGTAGCCTTTCTACGGAGCCACAAGTGATAAATATCAGTACGAGTAAACTTACTTATTACAGTTGTGCTTATATCTTTCGTCTTATTTTTTAATACTCCTGCTTGAAAAGTGGAGAGTATATATAGTGATGGGGTGTCCGTCACTTTGAGCTTTCCGTAGGGCATGACAATCTCGACACGTAGTTTGTCAATTGATGGTCTATAGATTCTCAAATCGCCTGGTTTACTAAATTAGGTCCCACCTTCTTACTGTATGAAACGCCCTCATTGGTTCATTGCTACATTCGTCAGTGTTTGCAGCATCTTCTATATATTATTTTCGTCCTACTTAAATTTACCAACTCTCAAAGAATTCGATTTGATCATATTCTATTGCATTGGTCTCAAAATATGACTGTACAAGTTAAACTGGAAAACATCTCAAATTTTCGACGGTGAGAGACGGTAGATGAAGGGGGGGGGGGGATGTGTGACTAGGAACAAATACAATAGGCAGGTTGTGTGGCTAGAATTCTTTAGATCTATACCGAGGTTCAAAACAGGCGTGGTTAAAAGCTATCAACATTATATGTATTAACATTTTTTTCAATTCACAGCCAATTTAATTAATAGTCTTATCGGTGAACTTTAACTATGACTAGGAAGTCATTTATAAACTGTAAATCATCGCTTATACATGACAGTAGCCCCTATTGTTAACTGAATAAAAATATCATTGCAATTTTTCACTGTAGGAATAATAAAATGTTAATTTCGAAGTATTTCATGTAGCGTAATAGATCTTCTTTCTGAATAAAGCGTATCTTTAAAAGCGTTTATTCCTTTAGGCAGTTTTTTTGTGGGGGGTCAAATTTTTCAGACGCCCCCCCCCCCTTTTATTAATAAAAATGCTACGGGCCTGGGTTCTTCTAAGTAACCTATGTTTTGGAAAGTATCTGATGCCCTATTAAAATTTACACCTGTTATGCAGGATCCCAATATGTTTCCAGCGCTAGTGTCCTCAAACGAAGAACTGTTCATTGCCACGGGAAAAAACCTTAAGAATTTATGTCATTGAATTACGAACACTTAGGGCCTACTTCTTCAAACTTTCACAACACGTTGACAGCAGTGATCCCTCAACATTTTCGCATTTTTGTTTTCTCGATTTGAATTTCTGTATAGTTATAAAAAATAATTCAAACTAACATGTTTTGTGCCCTTTATCAGTTATGCTTGATTATGTTCTTATGAATATTGATGAGCTAAGGCAACCAATGAAAAATCTAGATCACCATTTGACAGACGGTAATCACGCCTTACTGAAAGTCCAAGGTTACCATATATCAACATTTTTACTATGTCAATATCGGTTAGACTCAATTTAAACCTTCTTTTTATTGATTTGTTTTCAATATTCTATTTAATTAATTAATGGTTATTCATCTTCTATATATGTCAATGTATATATAAATGTATAGTTGTGTTTTTTTAATCATGACTTTTCAACAAATGTTACAACCCTGTTGCGCTTCCGTACTTCTTAGCGTCCATCAAAGATCAAACATTAAAGCAATTGTCATGGGTTTCTGGAGAAAGTGATTTTAACGTTCTGTACAAGAATGGAAAGCTAAAACCTTAACGAATATAATTTGGATATCTATACATATTTTATATGCTTCAAAAACATATATAACTGTAAATTTAAAACCTTTGCAAAAAATGCACGATTTACACATGGATTTCAGCCTCCTATTCTCACATGCAGCAGTGATTGTCTTAAATTTCTAGCCCATGTTGTCAGTTTCTTATAGTAAATTCACGCTTCAATGCAGCCTTCTCCCGGATTTTCAAAAAGCACGAGATTTTTGATTATTTTATGATGAAAACAACAAAACACCTGTTTATGGTAATGTTTATTCTTCCGCTAAAGAGGGATAATCGCGCTCTAGCGAGATGATCTCTCTACAGGGGAATTGTTCCCAACCTGTTTAAAGGATTCTTCTAAATTACGTTTCTTTCTTAAAACTTTTTACATTCCTTCAAGGTGAGCAAATTTGATTAACCGTGTCCACACTAAAAAAAAACAGTTAACAAAAATTCTAACAAAGGTACATTGCAGGGTCTAGTAAATGCGCTTCAAAGCCCCTACCTTTACTCCTCACAGAAATTGATTGCATTGAAAGAGAAACATCAGACGTGGAAGTGGTATTCATCAAATAAGGATTTACAAAAAAATGAAAGTATTTCACAGAGTTTTTTTTATTCCAAAAATCAGTAAAATCGAAATGTATGACTTTTCCGCTCTCTGTACACCCCATACCCCCATAAATTAAAGAACATATTTTTGATTTCATTAATAGTTTCTTTGATAACCATGGAATTCAGAAAAAAATATCATTCTATTAACAAATAATATGACGTTGATATTAAAAGGTGCTTCACTTCTTAATTCACAATATCTATATCGTTATTGGAGAACAAATCTTAAAACAATTTGTTTGAATTCCGAAGGGTAATGATTGCATTCCTTTCCTAGCCGAGCTGCTTTTGCATTCTAGATCTTAAGAAACAGAAAATTAAATACTTGTAGATAAAATAACTTTAATTTTCTATAGCTTCCAAATCTACATATACGAGGGGTTATCAAAAAGTTCGTGGACTAGCGCCATAAAATTAAAACCGCTTTAGGTACATCAATGAATTTTAATACATTTAGTTAGCATCATCTTTTCTATCTATAGAATAAACCATAAATCATAAGTTTTATTTTTTAATAAATTGTTAATGTTTTTGTAAGCAATGATATGTCCAGGCGGCGCAACCTCAAATATGACGTTTTTTCTACCTGAGTGTAATTGAGAAAAACTCTTTAGATATGAGCATTTGTCATCAAAATATATATTATTAATTCAGGCATGTGGTACGACACAATTGTTCCGTAAAATCTGCAATTTTTACCCCATTCTGTAAGTTCTGTGAAATTTATCGTAAAATTTTATATGGAGTGTCCAGACAATTATGGGCTTGAAAATGACGTCAAAAAGGGGAAGGTGTTTCTTTTTCCAACATTCTATAAAATTACGCTCCTGGAAAAACTGGTATAGACCTAAGGAATGTTTAAACGGGCTACAGAGAAATAAAATGCATCCAGAGTACTTGTTTTAAAATGCCCAAAAAAATTCAGAGAGATGAATGACGCACATTTAGTGTCCATTTGTAGTCAAAGTGTCAAAAGTCAGTCACGTCGAAAAGTGACGTTGATCATGTGTGGTAGAAATTGAACTCCAACAATCTAAGTATTCTGACATATTCAAGTGAGGATCTTTCCCTATGTATAGATCCATTTACAATATTATATGCATTGAAAGCAGCTGTTCATGGCATTGTTAAGTCATATAAACAAGACGGGCTTAAGTCCTTAGTACTTAACTTCAGGTAATCTCATCAAGATAAGTGTATGAGGTAGAGAGAGCGTACATTGAGAAACAATGACGTTGTCGGACGTCATGAAACTAAACGGCGAAAGCGCCGGGTGATCATATAATGTCTTTTTTATTTTAGAATAATTTGGCAAATAATCAACGTATCAAGCTAAAATTTTCAACATTTCATAAACTTTCGTTGTTTTATGTTCCTTATAAATTTTGTAAACACAGGCTACATAGTATTAATTTTATCGCATTAGTCCACGAACTTTTTGATAACCCCTCGTAGGTATATCAACTACAGTTAATAAATTGACAATAGTTACTTTCATTTATATGTCAACTCGAAAAAGTGAACTCGAAATCAAAGCTAGCACCGAGTTTGCCAAAGCGGTTTCATATTATATACTGAAACGCAAAAAAAAAAAAAACGCAACAAGCAGTAATCTACAAATAATTAAATTTTTTATCTAATGATTTTCAAAAATGAATACAGTAAGGTAAAGTTCGATTTAAAAACATCAGTGATTTGATAAAAATGTTAAATGATTATCTTCTAACTTTAGAAAGTAACAAATGACTGTTAAAACACCCCCACACCGGACATCCAATTACAGCGTGCAAGACTGTCATGCACAACAGTTGCAGCTTGATTTCTACGATGCAATAGGTTCGTCAATCTCGAGATCTGAGCGAAAGACATATTCTTTGCCAATTTTAAAAACCTGTTTTTGAGATGATGAGGTCGAATTTTCTCTATCCAAGCGCAGTGTAGTAACACTTGGACTTCCGGTCCAAGGACTGTCAATCATGCTAATGATACGTAAGAGCCAGTTGAAGCGTGATGTGGGTCATATTTGAATCTGCATCTCTCCATCACCTTTATTTTAAGATTTTCCAGCTAGAGCAATGGAAATGTGTACTTAAGTCATTTTCAGGAAGCCATGGCATCGCTTGCGGAAAAGAAATTGGAATTTATTTTTCGGAATATTGCTGCATTACTTATGATGAACAGAAACAAATCCTTAAAACCCCATATTGTTGCAAATGTTTTGTTAAACATGCAATTTTTGATTTCTGTTAAGCAGACTCAAACTTTACTTCCGGTAACGGTATGAAAATCACTCTACCGTTAAATTACCTATATTTGAAAAGTTGAAGATGCCCTTTTTTATATACAAAAAAATATCCAATATGTTATATTTCCCCCTAAAATATATTGTTGCGTTTCTTTTGCGTTCCAGTATACAATTTTGGACTTCAGTGTAAAAGATAGGGAAAAGACGTTTTTCTACAGAAACTTTGTTCCTTGAACTGGTCCTTTTTATTTGCAGTAGCTGAATCACCTTTTGGACAGGTGTTGCACTGTAGATATTTTTTTTATTCTGAGGGAACAAATGGGGGTCAAAAATATTTTTTTTTTCTTTTTACCATTTTTCATAGTAGCCCAATCATATTTTCGAATATGTCTTGGCGTGTCCTGTTTATGAGCATTTGATTTCGGAATTTCGATTTTCACCCTGGGGTCGATTCGGACTAGCCCTGAAAACGATTTATTTTTGTAATTTATAGAATTATTGTTGCTTTTACTTTTGTTAGCTAAATATGAAGGCAAGTATTTAGAGGCAAACAACTATTCTTTTCAGCTTTTGCATTCTCCATTCCACTGCGGCTTTTTTTACAGTTCATTACAGTATAGAAATGGTGAGTCGTGCAATATCGTTCTCCGTGGACGTGCTTTGGCGTCAATATCAGAAAGAAAAGCATATCACGTGACGTCCTTGACAAACACAATGACTTTAGCTTTTCCATTGTAAACGACCTTTTTATGTAGTAATATATCTCTATCACTTGCAAATATTGTTTAGTATCAAAACTGAACATGTTCCGAGTAAATTTATAAAACTACTAAGAAATAAGTTAAAAATACAGGGATTTTATAAACTCGTTTAAAACCAGCATTTAGCAAAAGGCTATATTCGATATGATACACTAGTTTGCAAATTTTGTAAGATCGTTTGACTTACATGTTTCATATCGTTGTAAAATTGTTGTCTTGACCCTTATTTGAACTACAGATAACTCTGTTTATCTGATCAATACAAAGGGCTCACAGTGGATGTGACAAATCAACAGGGATGTTTACTTGCCCTAGACACTTCTTCCACCTATGATTCTACCTGGCGCCTGCGTTTTTGTTATATTCACATGTAGTTTTGTGCATAAGATTCTTTAGGTTAAGTTTGCTAACTTTACTTTTTTCACTTTTATAAAAAAAGTTAGTATTTATGGCAACAATGTTTTATTCTTAATAACGTTCCTCATAGAAAAAGTGTGAAGCTTTTGGAGCTTTTACTTAGACCCTCTGAAACATACTCAAAGATAGTATGAAGTCTAAATTAAAGTTGTTAATACGGTAAAAGATAACTTACGTTATTTCTGTTTTACAATTACTGTTGTGGAGATTGAATTCTGTTCCATTGTTTTCAGTTTTGTTTTCGTTGTATTTGACAGAATGGTAACATTCCTGATCTGATAATGAAAGAAAATAAGGTTTATGGTAAGTGATCATATTCTTTTAGAATTAAAATTTCATAATGAAAATATTTATTTCAAAAAAGGTAATAAGGGGAACCTTCTTTTCTTTTACCCTACAGCTATTTCGATGGATGGATTGGTTAATTCATTGTTGTAAAACGTCCAATTTGATTTTTTTCACTCTACATATAGAGAAGTCGCCGTACGCTGGTGAAGAGTTCAAATTTAGACCTATACTTGGTCCTTACGGCTATTGAACAGTGAGGGTTCTTTATCGTTGCAAAGCCTATTGTGACACGGGACCTACGTTTTTAAGGTCATATGCGAAATACGTACCCTTGACTTTAATTTCTAATAACCGAGGTCCCATGTTGCAATATGTGCTGGCACAAAAAAGATCCTCACTGCTCAAAGGTCGTTAGTGCCGAGTACTAGTCTAAATTTCCCTCCACCGGCAAGTAATGGCGTTTCAATATGACTGAAAAATTCTCGAAAAAACGTTAAATAAACAAGCAAAAACATACACCTCTTACGCCAGACGCTTCGCGAAAGAATAGTCACTACCTTTATACAACCTAGGTTTGCGAATGAGAATCGAACCTGTGCCTACCAATTACGAGGCGAACGTACATGTACTACCATTAGGCTACTGCGACAGGTCTACAGCTATTTTGAAAATTTATGTTAAAATGTGGAAATTGGAACCATAGCTGAGGTTTGCACTCCCTGTTAAAGTCTCTCTTTTATCTTACATAACAACGGGCCGATGGGCCACATCGCTCTCCTCAGTACATTGGCTGAAGAAAAATAGACATCAGTTTTATTCTGGAAAGTTTAAATATATAGGTGTTCCCAGTCTAACCTTTCTCCCAGGAGGAGCAGGGAAGGGGGTATTATTTGAACAAACTTAAATCTACACTTACTGAGGATGCTTCCATATAAATATGATTTATGTGGCGTGGCTCTAAAGGGTTTTTACAGATTTTCAAACATATATTCTTATGTACAAGTTTGATCTTCAATTGTGCCCGTCCCTACCCGCGGGGTCATGATTTGAAATAGCTTGTTTCTATACTTCCTGAGGATGCTCCGTATTATTAGATCTTATCAAATATATTCTGTTCTTGAGGTGATTTTTAAAGATTTTTTCCTATACATTCTTATGTTAAACTTTGATCACCCATTATGCCCCCCTCTCCCCTTCCCCGGAAGTCATGATTTGAAGAAATTCAAAACGGAATAAGCTTGAATCAACACTAACTCAAAATACTTCCATACAATTATGACTAATTATGTCTTTACTGTTTTTGATAGGAAAATTTCTATTAAAAAAAAAAAATCCTATGTATTGCCATGTAAAATTTTTATCCATTGTGGCCCCATCCAAACCAGGGTCATGATGAAGAAGGGTGAAGATAACAAACAGTGATCGATCTAACAAAAACGACAAACAATAAAATCTGTGAACAGGCAATATACACAGACCCCTAAAAATTTTAGAGGTGGGGCCAGGTGCCTAGGAGGAGTAAGCATTCAAGGAGCAAGGAGTCACACCCGCCGTCAACCCAATGTATACATCAAGTAGACGGAACATTCCGTCAAATTTAATACAAAAACAATGGCGTTTTCAATTGGTATGAAACAAGTCAGCCAAAATACGACCACATGATAGGGTATATTTGCTTATAAGGTCATTATAACGACCATATAATTTACGAAATGCTGACTTTAAACGGGATTGTTGAAATCCCTGTAACGTCATCTTATGTGTGATTAACCTAAAAATTGATCGTACTCAGAGAATGCTCTTGAGTACCGAATCAGTTGAGAGACATAAACAGCATATGCTGGTGATAGAGGAATATAACTACATAAATAAAGAAAGTTGACGATGGAAAAGCTGAAGTCATCTCGTTTGTAATAGAATGTAGTTGTTGGTCGACCTTTGTCGCCTATAGTCAGTAAAACATCCATATATGAAACAGATGTGACAGACTCTATGGTGTCTTTTATTTTAAGTTCACTGAGATATATCGAGTCGACATATGAATGGAAATAAATATTGTTAATAGATAAAACGTCGTCGATACATCTGATTGTCGAGTTGAAGGCCACGGCAAGTGTTTTCTTCTTCTCATGTTTAAGTTTTTGAAAAAAAATTCTGCTTCATAGAAATATGAAAACAGATCGGCTAATAAAAGAGTACATTTAGTGCCAATGGAGATTCCAACAGTTTGTTGGAAGACTTGGTTTCCAAAGACTACAGAAATATTGTCAATGAGGAACTCCAGCATCCTTTTGATATCAACTTCAGAGTGATTTTTAACGAAGTAATGTTTTTGATGACCAAAACTGCTTCAGTATAAATATGCCTAATCATGGCTTGCTGTTCTTGAGAAGCAAGAGCCAGTTTTACAAAAGAACTTACGACTAAGACCAAAATTAATTGTGCTTATAACTTTCTAATTACATGAAATTGAAAATGGTTTTAATCTTTAAAAAAGAATGTAGAAAGATTTTTTTTACGCTAACTAGCAATTTTAATTAGAATCACTAATTTTGCATATCCTCAATCAACTAAAGTTTTGGGACTTAATCATACGCTCTTGTAAAATGGACCCCAGATTGTAAAAGATTTTTCCCTTTATATCCCTTCGAAAAAATTTTGATCTGCTAGGTCCAACCCTACCCCCGGTGGTCCTGAATTGAACAAACTTAGACCTACACTATGTAATGAAGGTTTGACATAAGATTCATCTGTTCTGGTCCGTGGTCAATGAGAAGATATATAAAGAATGTCAGTAAATTTTCATTAATATCAACCCTTGGAAGAGGACATGAACCTTCATTTGAATAACCTACATGTATTATCCCTTTTATCCAAGGATGCTTTGTGGCAAGTTTGGCTGAAATATGTTCCACTAGTTCTTGAGGAGAAGTCGAAAAATTGAAAAGCTTATAGATGACAGAAGACACATGACAGACAGACGCATTATACCTTCGATAAGAAAAGCTCACTCGAGCCTTCCGCGCAAGTGAGCTAATTATAATCACTGTTTAAACAAATAAAAGATTAATAGACCATTTTGTGATTTTCTAGTTACCTGAATGATATTATCTAAATAATTCAATATGACGTGTTATATTTTTTTACATTGTGATAAGCAAAATTTTGAAGACCTGAAAATACTTTAATTCAGCTTATACATAAAACTTTATTTTTGGTTATGGCATGCGTTTTTGTGGCATATATATATATATATATATATATATATATATATATATATATATATATATATATATATATGTTTTCGGTATTTTTATTTTTTTCAAAAAATTCTATAAAATGCTAGATGCATGACGTTATATCTGCTTTCATAAATCATATACAGGTTTTTTGACAAATAATGAACAGCTTCATCTGACAGGGATCAAGTTAGAAAAGTGATTAAATAGCCTACAGTACACATATTTTGACAATTGCTCATAAAAGTCTAATAATTGCGCTTTCATCAAGAATAAAAAGCCGACAATTCCTCACATTGACGTCATTTAATCCTCCATTCAGCTACTTGGTCATGTAATAATAAATGGATTTTTCCGCTTTTTGTTGTTTTTTTTTTTTATTGTGTATCGTTTGCATATAATTTTGAAGGAAAACCTCGGACTTTTTAAAGAAAAATGTGAAGATAACGAACATTGATCGATCTCAAAAAAACTACATTCATTAAAAATCTGTGAACAGGGCGTTAAACGTGGACCCCTGGAAATTCCAGAGGTGGACTCAGGTGCCTAGGACAAGTACCCATCCCCTGTTGACTGGTCACACCCGCCTTGAACCCTGTGTTTGACCAGATAGATGGAACATTCCGTAATCATATTCAATATTAAATAAAAGAGCAACAATTGGTATGAAACACATCAGCCAAACTACGATCTAATAAGATATATTCGCTAACAAGATAATTCTAACGACCAAAAATTTTACGAAATGCTGACTTTAAACAAGTAAATTTGAGGGAAAAAATCATAAAGGTATTAATGATTAGATAAGAACATTTATGATTTCTTTAAAAATATGTGAGTATTTTACTTTTAAATAATTTATTTAATTAATTTTCAGATCGACCATTCTCAAGTGAACAAACATACAGGAATCAGTAACCAGTTAGCAAATGCCTGTATAGATGTGGTGGATTAATAATATCAATTAGATTTTCATGTCAATATGTTAAGTATTTTTCTAGCGATTACTGACTCTGTAAATAGCACCCCCCCCCCCCCCCCCCCGAAAATATGACATCAGAGAAAAATGAAAAAATGCAGCAACGTAATACAAAGGATGTCCCTATGGAAAAACAAAAGTGGTTTGTGAGCAACCAAAAATAATTTTGAATTAGGAAAATTGTTATTTATATGTGATCGTAAAGCAACCTGATCATATCTTTAGTACTAGTCTTGAAGCACTTAATTATTTAAAACAACTAATACCACGAAAACACATGATTCAAGGGTATTATCAAATAAAAAAGAACTTTTTCTCGAAATGATCTGAGGAAAGGTGATTTTTACTGTAATTTAGTGAATCGAAATGCGTGAATTAATTCTCCGTTTTGTTACAAATAATGTTTCCGTATCAAGATAGATACATTACTAGGCATACAAAATGTGATTTAAAATTTGATACGTATACGACAACTTTATTATGATGCACAATGATACATTCTGTTTTCATAAGCGATGAATAGTTACACTTAGTTGAACAAGTATCAACCACTATAATTGTGTGCTGCATTACATACATACATCGGTTATAATGTCAAACACCACTGAGTAAATATCTTAATAAGACATGTAATTAGTAATGCATGATATTACATTTATATGCCTCTGTTGATAGGTATACAGGAGGACATGGGATTCTGTCTGTCCCACAACCTGCAGATAAACTCTCCTGAATTATGTTGCCTCTAATATTGTATTCTGGACACATTTTGCCTGCAAGAAATACGTAAAATGTGTAAATCACACATGGTTGTTGGTCATGAATGTTTCTTATATACATGTAGCACTTTATCTACTCTGCATAATGGTGGCATTTCACATACCGTGAATTGGTTTTGCTGGGGCACAAACCTGGAGAAATCCTGTCAGTTTTGTGTTTAAAACACAATGGAATACGAACTCTTCTGCTTCAACACAAGTTTGATAAACGGATGAACAGTTTGCTTTTTCCGCCTCTATTACCCATTCTAGCTGATTTTTTGGGCATTGACTCACTTCCGTCAGTGTCTTTTCCGATGCTGTACATGGCATAGTGTCATACTGAAGAATAAACTGTCAAAAAAGCTTGATTCGTATCATATTTTACTCTTCGTGTATTTTCTATCCCCTTACTTCAATGATTGTGCCAGTATACACTGTACAATAGGGAGCTAATCTAATTTACACATTTAAACCTCCATAATAACGTTTCATGACTTTTTTTGGTCCAATCTCCCAACCACCACCCCCTCCTTCTTACTTTGCTTCCTAGGGACCTGTTCTGATAACTAAAGAAAAACAAGAGACCCAAGGACCTTAACAGTCACCTGAGTATAATACAACATTATTAAAAATCCATAGAAATTTAAAGCAAAATTAACTGAAAGATGAAGCTATGTTGCCCAAGAACTTCAAAAATCTGGTAAAAATACACTTGCTTATTGTAACCTGCGAGACCTGATCGATCTCCTTGGGATCGTACTTGGTTTGTCCAAGTATTACAAGGATGATAATGAATGCAAAATATATACAAACACAATGGGTACTTGCCTAGTGTGTAAGATATTCAATATATATAGATATTTTTTTCACTTGCCTAGTGCTACAATTAAGTACACAAAGAGAAATGTCTAATGAGGCGATGCCTCTTGGCTACACAAACAACTTAGCTGCTTGCCACTTGGTAAGACTTGGTACCAACACTTGCCTCTTGGTATACAAACAGCTTGGTAATACTTGTTACCAGCACTCATCAATTGCCTATACGACGGGGTTATTTACCACTTCTAACAAACTACAACACGTCTACTAGTCAATCTGGCTCTCTGAGAAGGAATAAATCCATGACGTCATAGTATGCAGTGTAACGTAAAAGTTAGGGAAAATTGAATTGGACAATAAATTATGATTTTTCACAGTCTCAGTAATCAAACATAAAACAAATTAATTATACATGCAGTGAGCATTTCGACATTTGCTCTCAAGGAAACTACAATCTTTCCATTTTATAAACATTGGAGCGATTCAGCCGTAATGAGAATAGTATAAGAGATTTATTAAATTTTTTTTAAATCTGTTTTCACCAAAACTGAACAAACATTAATATATTGACCTGTTAATGTCTTTTTTGTATTATAATTAATTTGTTTATAGTTTGATACTATTTATCGATGTATGAAGTTTCATTCCATTTGATTAAATGGAACTCATGTTAGCCAATTTTAAAAGCATCACGTTTTATCGCCACGGAGCACGGTTAAAAACAACAACGTCGAGAAAGTTTCACAAAACTTACTCTGTCTTTTGATTTTATAACGTATTGGTAGCGACTTCTCCATTCATAAAAAACGTATCCATAACACTTGACACCTAGTTTTCTAATAATTATTCGAGCACCATTAGTTAGATTTTCATTGTTTTCAAATTCTTTACCGCGTAACTAGGCATTCACAAGTTCTGCGACAGTGGGCATCACGTTTCATGACGTAACTATCTCTTTTGACAAGATTTTAAACTAAAACCCGTTCCTTCGCAGACCGTCCATCGTCCGATTCAAAGTCTCAAGTCTCTCCCACTCAAAAAATGGTGTTTTTTTTTTTTTTAATTATATACAAATGCACGTCTCATTTTTTTTTATATATTTCCTGGTTCCTCCAGCTCTTTAAGAGTTTGTTTTAGAGGTTTCCTGATTGCAAAACAAAATTTTATTGCTAGCTGCTGCTCCGTGACGTCATTCAACGTCATCGTTTTTTGCTTTTTTAATCAGGTCTATCTGTCTTTAGAAATCGATAATTTTAAATCGAAGCGATTTATTACATTACCTTTTAGCATCTGAAGTAATAAAACAATGCTAAATTTAAACATTTAAATTTTATTTCATTTAAGCGCCATTTATTGGAGGTATGGTTATAAACATTATAAAGCGTATAATTAGTAAATAACTCAATTTTGACCCTGCTCCGTGACCCCGTCTCAAATCTTTGACAATTTTGATAAACATCAAGATATATTCCAACTTTATAACTCAAAATATTTGAATCTGTTGTTAAAATATGTGTACCAAATTTGGTTGTAATATGACGTTAAATAAAAAAGTTATGACAAAAGTCTACGAACTTTTTGAATGACCCTTGTATATATATATATATATATATATATATATATATATATATATATATATATATATATATATATATATATATATATATATATATATATATATATATATATATATATATATATATATATATATATATATATATAAATTCAACCTTGATTTATGAAATGATTAAACTTTTTTTAAAAAAAAAAAGGAATTTATTAGAGGTGCACCTCTTCTTTATCTCATCTTTTCATGTTTCAAGTTTGGGGTCTGAAGTTTTAATTTCGAAGTGTTCTCAATTTGACAATTATTGGATGAAGAAAAAAGAGAAAAATATGTGCTATTTGAAGAAGAATTATAAATCAGATAATTTATTGTTGATTTAGCGATATACTACTTTTTATTAAATATTTGGCAAACTGTTGCTTAAATTGATTTATTACTCGAGTTCAATTTTCACAGAATACATTTCTACTATAAAAGACCCGACGTTGTACGATGAATTTCAAAGTTATGAAATATTTATGAAAAAAGTAAAAAAAAAAAAAAGGATCGATCACATAACATAATTATTCATATACCAATAAACATCATAAAATCAACAAAATTGTCCATTCAACTTTCTTACACAGGCAGGTGTAAATAGATTATATCAGACATTAGGGCCATGTCTGATAAGTGCTACATCTGAAATTGAAAAATGTTTTGCCTTCATATTCATTGGAAGTTTACATAATCTGCTTGATTTGACTTTCTTTTTCCTACATATATGTGTGAGTTATCCATCTTGTGATTAGATTTGCATTGTTCCATAGAACTGCTTGAACTTCTTGATACATGGTCGTAAAGTAACCTTTAATGCTCTGTAAAACCGAGTCGGAAGTGTTGGTAGTGATAGAATAACGAAGTGAAAACAATATATAGTTTTTTTCTCTGCGTAGTACCCTGTGTTAGTGTTCTATAAACTTGAAAAGAAGTTGGTTTCATTTGGGTGAAAGGGATGTTGTGTATCGATCAAGATCTATTTCCGTGACGTTGAAATTGTTATTTACATTCAATAATAAAACCCTTATAAAACAAAGTCAGAAATTCCCCCATACATGTATTTGAATATAGAATGAAATAATGTAAGCTACTTTGTTTACTCCTTCTAGGCACCCGATCCGACCTCTAGAATTTCCAGGGATCCGTGTTTCATGCCCTCTTCACAGATTTGTATTGTTTATAGATTTTTTTGAGATTGATCACTGTTCGTTATCTTCACCTTTTTTTCATTTCTCACATTCAGGAAACTGAAATCTCTTTCTTCGTCGAAGTGGGACAAATTTTGGGCAGAAATCGATTTAAAATACTTGAATATTATTATCACTACATGTATGTCAAAGTGTTCTCTTTTGTTATCAGGTGTTCTAAAATTTTCTTAGTCCTAAAAAATACGTTCTTAAGAAAGCAAGAGGTCCATAGGCCACAACGCTTACCTGTCACCTGTAATAAGAAGATTAAAAACATATTTTCAGAAGTAAATCCAATCCTCAGGAACCATAAATTGAACAGACTTGAATCTACACTTTGTCAGGAAGCTTTTATTTAAGGATCATCATGTCTGGTACAGTGATTCTGGAGAAGAGATAAACATATTTAGTATCTTTCTATGGAAACATTTGATACTCTTTTATGATCCACCCTACTCCGGGATCAAAAATTTGAGGAAACCTGAATCTACACTTTGTCAAGAAAGCATCGCAAAAGTTTCATTTTTTCTGGCCAAATGATTCTTGCAAGGAAAATTTTTCAAAGTTTTTTCACCTTATGTGTTTTCATGTTAACATCTGATCCATTATTTAAGTCAGACTCTAGCCCACGGGATCCGATCCATGATTTCAGCAAACTAGAATCTACAGAACGTCAGAAAGCATTTATTTAATTTTCATCTTCATTGTCCCAGTAGTTCTGGAGAAGATTTATAAACACTTTTTTTATATATTGCCATGTAATCCTTTGATCCCCTATTATGGCTTACCGATCCCCAAGCAAATAGTTTTGACAAAGAAGAAGGTACGGTTTTAGCTTTATTTTTAAAAAAAATTAATGCTTTCAAAAAGTTTTGAAACTGGCTTAAATATTAGTTGAGTGTATGACTGTGAAAAATCAGGAAGGAATATGGCATGAAGGAGTACCATTCTGGAATGGTACCTATTTTAAACAGAAAAGCCTCAAAATGGCCCATTTCTAGGGTTATTTTCCTTAAGAAAATAGTGTCCACAGCTGTCGCCCACTCCAATTTTCGGATATATTGTGTAAAATTCTTTGAAAAATCATATATTTCAAGATCTTTGTGGGCGATGCCTGTAGACAATATTTTCTGAAAGAAAATTTCATTGAAAATTAGTGTCTTCTGCATTTTTTTAAGAAAATACGGAAAAATGCACAGGTTTATGACATCACAGTTAGCATTTAGAAGGTCATGTGAGAAAAATGGTTTGTATGATCTTTCTGCATGGAATTTCAATGATTAAAAATGCTTAAGTTTTAATTTTTTACATCACTTTCATTTTTAAGAAAAATACAGGGCAAGACGTATTGAAACCGTACCTTGTTCTTTAAATTTACACTTTGTTGGAAAACTTTCTTATTAGTTTCACCTATTCTGGTCCAGTGGTTCTTGCGAAAAAGATTTTATAATATTTTTCCTATATATCTTCATGCAAAAAACTGCTGCCTTATAGTGGCCCCACCCTATATCCAGGGGTCCATAACTTAACCAAATTATCTACACTATGTTAGACGGCTTTCATAGAAGTTTCATCTTTTCTGACCCAGTGAAAAGAAGATATTAAAACTCTTTTCCAGTATATTTCCATATTAATTCCTTATTCTGACCCCACCCTAAGCCCAGGGGCCATAATTTGAATAAATATGCCCAGTAGCTGTCATATAGGTGTTGTCGTTGGGGGGGGGGGTCTCCCTTGTGCAACTTGTGGGTCTCCCAATTCTGTATATTGGAAACTAAGTCAGGACTAAAATGAATAAATGGTTTTTTTTAATTTGCAAAGTTTCCTTTTATGAGTGTCCTGTATTCGTTCTCTCGTAGAACTTAAGTAATGGAAATATTATTTCTCTTCTAATTAGAAATAAGAAAGATAAATATAGTTATAGGAGAGTTATTTCACCTCCCACTCATTTCTCCGACAAAACAATTTATTAAAATCATTGAAAGTTTTAATTAATTGTATTATCTTAAATCCATCAGCTTAAAGAGATCAATTAATTTTTAATAGTTATTACCCAACGACTTTTACTCCTGGATATTCTGGTTATATGAGTTTTGAAAACCAAATAACCAGCAGATTGATTTGCTCTTGCTTTTATTGGGCTCGATTGTCATGCCTTCACGACAAAACTAAATATCCCGCCATCTGCGTTTTAGCAAAGAAGCTTTATAATGCTGCCATGCCGGTTGAACCGACGAAATAAAACACGCACCTAGTGCGCCAATAATCGGAAATTACTGTTGGATACATTAGTAGCATGTCTGATGGTCTTTTTATACATAAATACAATTGTTAACCGTTAGATATTGGTTTGGGAATGCATATCTGCGCAGTAAGATATTGAGGAATATTGGGGTGACACTTATACTACCGACTTCGTCCAAATGATGAACATGGTAAATCTACCAAATGATGAACATGGTAAATATACAATTAATAAAACATTCATCCGATGTTTTATAGTTCAATATGTTGCAGGGGGTATTATACATTTAACTTGTACTGTATATTTCCACAAAAAAGTGTTACCCATAACAACAGGACCGTGACACAAATTTTATCTTTTCTGGCCCAGTGGTTTCTAAGAAGAAGATTTTTAAATGATCCCGCCAAATTTTCACTTTCATAAATATCTCCCCTTGCAAGTTGACATGACCCTTTATTTAAACTAATTTGAATTGCATTTACCACAGGATGCTTTGTGGCAAGTTTGGTTGAAATTGGTCCTGTGGTTCTGAGGAAGAGCTCGAAAATTTAACAAATAAACAGATGACGGACGACACACGACACACAGACGGACGCCAGACAATCTTCGATCAGCTTAGGTAAACTGAAAAGTGTACAAGTTAAACAATGTTCATGGCATTCTTTAAATTAACACAAAAGTTAAGAGGTCCTATACGAAAAAAATCTCGAAATCGGCTTAGGTAAGCTGAAAAGTGTACAAGTTAAACAATGTTCATGGCATTATTTAAACTAACACAAAAGTTAAGAGGTCCTTAATCCCCCCCCCCCCGGAATGTGAACAATCAGTTTTATGTCCTTCTTGTGAGCAAAAACGAAATTTTTATGACAACAAAAATCGAGACTAACTTCATTCAAATATTAATTTGCTTTATGTACATAATATTAAACAACATGACAACTGATTTTAGATTTACTTTATTGATTGTCAAGATTTAGATCAATTCAAACACCACGATAACGTTATATGACTGAAACTTGGATCTGTTTGCAATACTTACGGTCAAAAGTAATGAAAGAATCTGCAGTATCTTAACCTTGCAACAGATTGATATTTTCCTGCAAAGAGATTATCAATTTTTTTCCAAACCTGAATGGTAAAAGACCAAATATTGGTCTGAGAGTAAGTCATTTCCACAAGGTTTAAAACTTTTTAACATCTAATCACAGATTGTGTGAATTTTTCCACGCCCAACCTAAACTTTAGGGTAATGGATGGAGGCTTAGTTATTTCACTAATTATTTCTATGATGCTCTTGCAATTGAGACGAAGATATTTATTGTTTTTCCCACCTATTTCCCCTTATATGTTTTAAATTTAAAACTTTAATTTCTTATTGTGGCCTAACCCTATGCCGCGGACGTGAAATGAACAAATTAGAATATGTAGTGTATAAAGACGTTTTTATAAAAGTTTTCTGGCCAAGTGGTTATTTGGCAGATTTGTAAATACTGCCACCAATTTTCCACTACTTCTTGATTATCCCCCCCTTCAAAGAGGGATGGTCATCGAACAAATATGAAACCCCTTTATTCAAAGATGCCTTATAGCATGTTTGGTTGAAATTGGCTTAATAGTTCTCGAGAAGTTATGGCAATGATAAGCTAGTATACAGATAAACATAACACACGACAGACAGACTGAGAGCTGGACAGAAAGATAAACAGACAGACGGATGGACTAAGAGACAGGGGACGGACGCCCGCCACTTCTCGATAATTTAAACCCACTTGAGCTTTTGGCTCTAAAGAGCTAAAAATGACAAAGTTTAAACCATTGAATTTTTTTTCTAATTTAATCCAAAAAAGAGAGGAAAATGTTCAATGTGTGAGAATCTCACTGTTAAATTCCAATGTTAAAAATGAAAGCTGTTACAATACAGAATGCACAAACCATTCTCATTAATCGATAAAAAAAGGTACAAGTTTGCAATCGAGATCTACAAAATTATTTTTAATTGATGTGTCTACAATTAATTTTGTACAAAATTTTCATTGCAGAATATTTCACACTGTTAGAAATACAGAATATTCAAAGAAAGAACCCTTGCGTAACTGACATCGTGGGTGGAATGGAGGGATTACTAGACCTGGGTTCAATATTAATGAAGTATTTAAAAACTCAATGATTCAAAATAAAGAAAGGTAAAGCTATGTGAAATCATAAGAAAACATATATGTTAAACTTCATGCAAAAATGTACCAATATCATTTATAGGGACGAGTATTTAAAATGTATGGTTTAAATAAAGTAAAAAAAAAAATCATTGGTCAAAGCACAATTATATTTTTAAAGAGTTTTAAGGGCGTAATACATCAACGTTACTTACGTTTTATTCTCCATGTTTACAAACATATGCAAATTAAGGACAACGTAAACCATGGATTGTAATAAAGATATAAATAGAGAAATTTTCTTTAAAAGGACACTGAGTAATTTACTTCATTGGAATGTGATTAAAAAAAATACATGGGAAGTCCTCCGAGTTTCACAGAATTTAAAAATTTATTATCGATACTTATATTTACATTCGATGAGAGCAGTTGATTAAAAAGAAAACTCCAACGACCCATCGTAGTTGATTGAGTGTAAATACGCCTATACGATGTCCTTGACATTGATATATGCCATTATATCATCAGAGTCTGTCAGCTGACATCCACGACTGTACTCGCCAATGCCATGACTGTACCTGCACACTAATGTCAAAGACGGAATGTCAGAGCAAGAATTTCCGGGTCGTTCAACGTAGTAAATATGTTGATAAATACGGATTGTTTATATATATATATATATATATATATATATATATATATATATATATATATATATATATATATATATATATATATATATATATATATATATATATAAAATCCGTGTGTAAATATTAAGATAAGAAAGTAAAAAAAAAAAAATTCTGATTTCAAATAAATCTACTGTATGGAAGACTGTGATCGCCAAAAGGTAATATAAACTTGTTTAGTAAATTTATGGAGGAAAATTTATTAAACTTGCCTAGAGACATAAAGAATAAATCTATTTTCTATTCTTAAACCCATTGTATGGATCGCCAAAATCGCTAAAAAGTAGCATTTACAGCAGTTGAAACCAATGTTAGTACAGATGCCCGATTAACAACATCCACTACTGTGCCTGCCCTGTATACACAAGTTATTCAACATCCATGACTGTACCTGTGCCTGATCAACAACACATACGACTGTACCTGTCCTGTATACACACTTTATTCTACATCCATGACTGTACCTGTGCCTGATTAACAACATCCACGACTGTATATGACTTGAAAACTCTAGAAATTTTACATCTTAGACAGCACCTGTGTCTGATTGACATCAACGACTGTACCTGACGTGTATACACAAGTTGTTTTACATCCATGAGAGTACTAATGTGCCTGATCAACAACATCCAGGTTTGTACCTGTCCAGTAAACACAAGTTATTTTACATCCATGACTGTAAGTATATTCATTACTGTACCAGTCCTGTATATATTGAATATTCTACCCCTAAGAAGTTACTAAGACGGAATTAAAGAATCAAATGTATATTCAGTACATTTTACTGTTTGTCATCTTCACCTCTTTGATTTAACGATATTGACAAGCCTACTATTTAGGTGCCGATCCAAAAATGACAAACAAGCCCTGCATGGAACCATTCGGTTGTATCTCACAATTCTAGAATTTGTATTATGTTGAAGGCCAGAATACTAACCATACTTTTGTAAAGTAATGGTTCTAACACGTGTGTGTTCTACATGAGTTTATTACAGACTGCTTAGTATAAACAAAGAACATTAAGATATAGCATGCAAGCACGTGGTTACAGAGTACACAGGAGACTGGGATAATCTCAGAATACAATATATACGTTACATCCCCCTTCTTTGAGAAAAATGTCTTAATTTAATTGATATAATTATCATTTAATAAGAAATAAAACATTAAACATTGAAAATTACTTAAGAGTCCATGATGCCTAATTTAAACTTTGGAGATAGAGTCTTTGTTTTACAGTTTCTTTTCCAATAGATAACATTACACTTAACATTCATTTCACTTAGAAAGAGGTATATTTACAATATATACAGATGATGGTAATACAATAAATGATCATGTGGCCAATAACAGCAAAGAGGATTATTATGCCTCAACACTTTTGCTGTTTCACTTATCACTTGTAGATCTTAAAATCTTCAAAACGTTTTGGCATTTTTATTTGTCTTGTAGAGCGTCTGATGGGAGTAATTTTATCCGCTGATGGTTTGGGGTTCTCTGCTGATGGTAGCTTATCATTCATCACATTAATAAAGTTTGGGGGGTCTACTACGTTGTTCACAATGAATGGCTCATTGCTGCGCCGCAGATGTTTCCTGTTTCGACGATAGGTGCGACCATCCTCTGTAGTAACCTGATATGAGCGGATATTAACTTTCTCGTCAACTTTTGCCTTAGTCCAGGTTTTTTCCTTTCCAAAAGGTCGAATTCTCACGGTTTCCCCAATATTAATCTTTGGTAGGTCTTTAGCTGTTCGGTTATAATAGAATTCTGACAGAGATTTCCGTTTTGCTAATTGCTCTTTGACATTTGTCGGTAGGGATGGTTTCAAAAGTTCAGATTTTGTTGGTAGTAGTGTTCTTGTACGACGTCCCATTAGTCTCTGGACAGCAGAACTACCGATATTTTCTGAAGGAGTGTTTCTCCAATCGAGTAGTGCCAAGAAAGGGTCTTTGTTGTCTAACTGGCATTTCTTTAATAAAGTTTTTGCAATTTTCACAGCATTTTCTACCTTTCCGTTAGATTTTGGGTATAAAGGTGATGAGGTTATATGATTGAACTCATAGTTTCGTGAGAAGCTTGCAAATTCTTTGCTACCGAAGGGAGGTCCATTGTCTGAAATCAGCATCTCAGGAATTCCATGTCTGGCCATTTGGGCTTTGAGCTTGTTTATGACTTCCTTTGATTTCTTATCATGTAGACGGTCAATTTCAAAGAAGTCTGAATGATAGTCAACAGTAATGAGATACTGTCTGTCATCAAGCTGGAATAAATCAGTTCCTATCTTTTGCCATGGTCTGTCCGGTATCTCATGAGAAATGAGAGTTTCTTTACCTTGCTCAACTTGTATGGTAGCGCAGACATGACATTTCTTAATATAGGTTTCGATATCCTTCATCATGTTCGGCCAGTATAGAGATTCTTTGGTCCTGCGGTAACATCCTTGGATTCCAATGTGGCTCGAATGTACCCTTTGTAGAATTTCATCTTTCAATGTGAGTGGAATTACAATACGGTCTCCTTTGAAGATGAGTCCGTCCTGAGAAACTAATTCATCTCTAAATGTATGGTAGAATTGTATGTCAGGTGGTAGTTCATCGCGCTCGGGCCAGCCATCTTTGATTGTTTTGGATAGTTTTAGCAAAATTTCATCCTGTGAAGTTGCAAGTTTTATTTTTTTCAAAGTATCCGATGAGATATTGGCGTACTCGCTCATGGTTATGGATTCAACATCCTTTTCCGATTTTGGGCGATCGGTAATTGCAAGTACTCGATCTTCTGAATCATGTTTCTGTAGTTGAACTGTAGGAAGGTAGGCTCGACTCAGTGTGTCGGCAAGATACATTTCAAGTCCTCGTTTGTATACAATTTCGTAGTCAAACTTTTGCAGACGTAAGAGCATTCGTTGCAATCGTTTTGGCGCAGATATAAGGCTCTTCTTGTTGATTATTTCACGCGGTTTGTGGTCTGATTCTACCTTCACCTTACGTCCAAGAGTGTAGTGCTCAAAACGTTCCATTGCGAACAGGACAGCAAGTAGTTCCTTTTCAATTTGCGCGTAGTTAACTTCAGTCGGAGTCATTGCACGAGAAGCATATGCGACTGGTTGTTCATTTTGAATGAGACAGGCTCCCAGTCCACGTTCAGATGCGTCACACTGTACTGTTGTTGGTAGATTAGGATCAGAGAAGCGTAGTACAGGGCTTGTAGAGAGTATGTGCTTTAGATCGTCAAAGTTTTACCGTGTACAGCGTCCTCCCATACGAATTCTGTATCTGTTTTCAGTAGATCTCGGAGGGGTGCTGTAATTTCTGAGAGGTTTGGCGCAAATTTCTGGACAAAATTCACCATTCCTAGTAAGCGTTGAATGTCAGCTTTGCAGGTAGGTTTCGGCATTTCTGTGATTGCCCTAATTTTCAAGGGGTCTACTTTCAAACCTTCGCTTGAGATAATATGTCCTAAATATGATACGGAACGCATTCTCAATTTCATTTTGTCCTTGTTTATTTTGATGCCTTTAGATCTGCATCTTTCCAGTAGGTTGGAGAGTTTTTTGTCATGATCGAGGATTGCTTCCTCCTCAGAGTTTCCGCAGCCATATATGACTATATCGTCATGTATTGCTTTGATTCCTTGGAGACCCGACAATGCTTCATCCATTCTGCGTTGAAACTCTTCACTAGCTGGTTTTATTCCAAAAGGCATGCGGAGCCATCTGTATCTGCCCCAAGGTGTTCCGAAAGTTGTCAGGAGACTGCTTTCATCGTCCAGAACGATGTGCCAGAAACCATCTTTGCAGTCGACAACAGAAAAAAATCCTAGCTTTGCTCAGTTCTGGCAATATGTCTTCTATAGTTGGTGTTGTATAGTGGTTGCGTTTTAAGGCTTTGTTTAGCGGCTTTGGGTCAATGCATAGTCGCATTTTCCCACTGGGCTTCCTTACCGCTACAAGTGAGGAAATCCAATCGGTTGGGTCCGATACCGGTGCTAACACACCTACGTCTGTCAGTCTGTCGAGCTCATGTTTTAGCGGAGCTCTCATAGCGATCGGCACCTTTCTAGTGGAAAGTTTAACGGGAGCAGTCGAACTGTCAATCTCAAGATGCAGCTCTCCACTTAATTTTCCAAGACCGTTGAATACGTCATTGTATTTCTCTTGAATGCTTTTGTTTTGATTCTCGGAGTCGACGGCAGCAATGTTTTCTCTGTTAACCGTAATCATGTTCATTCCTTGAATTACCTTTGCTCCTAAGATTGGGTTTAAATTTCCTTGAACAACAACTATTTCAAAGTTGTAACGCTTATTGTTTTTGGGATTTCGCACACTGAGTCTTCTTTTGCCAAGAGGGTGGCATTCAGTTTTGTTAAACATGACAAGAGTCATGTCTGCTTTCTGAAGCATGCTGAGATTAGGGTCATTGCATACCTGTTTATAGATTTCTTCGGGTAGTACATTCACTGTTGATCCACAGTCTAACTGGAATCTCACAGTTTTTCCTTCAATTTGGATTTCTGCATACAGTTTTTTCTCAATGGCATTTATGTTTTTAATCATGAGGATAAATTCCTCATCACTTGTATCATTGTTGATTTGTTTGATGTGGCCACGCCTTGGTTTGAGTAGTGAGCATTTCGTTGAGAAGTGGTTCATCTGGCTGCATTTTCTACACTTTTTTCCCCATGCTGGACACAATTCTTTTCTAAAGGGGTGTTCCTTACCGCAATATAGGCGTTCTTTGTGACTTTTAGAGGCAGTAGGAAATTGCTTAATTTCTTTCCTTGTTGTTTGTTTGGTTTTTGTAAATGCCTGGGGTTTGCGTGGTGATTTCATTTTTACGGCATGTACCTCTTCCATAGTTTTAAGCTGGGAGGTGGATTTTTCATTGGCCCTGCAGATGTCAACACATCTCTTCAAATCCAACTTCGGTTCCTGAAGTAATTTTTTTCGCGTGCCATTGTCCCGTATTCCTAATACAATTCTGTCACGAATCATTTCATTTTCCAGCGCATCAAATTTGCACCTTTTTGCAAGTGATCTCAGAATTGCCACATATGTGTCAATATTTTCAGTCGTTTCCTGATCTCTTTTATAGAACGTATATCTTTCATATGTTTCATTTGTTTGTCCGATGCAGAAGGCTTCAAATCTTTCAAGTACTATATCTATATCTTTTTTATCATCTTCATTCTCAAACTGGAGGCCATCAAAAATGTCTAATGCATCAGGTCCAATGCATGTTAGAAAAGTAGCAGTTCTCACCTCTTTGTCTTTCTCCTTTAAGTTGGATGCAGTTTCGTATTTAGTCCACATCCGCTTTAATTTTTTCCAGTTTGTTGAGAGATTTCCCTTGAGATCCAATTTTCCAGGTATTGGAATTGATGGATTCACAACAATGGGAACGGGAGCATTTGCGTTTCCCTCGTCACCCATGGTGTCCAGTTAAATCCAGAGATTCACAGAAAGACTCAGGAAAAACACTTCTGACACCAAGTAAAGTAATGGTTCTAACACGTGTGTGTTCTACATGAGTTTATTACAGACTGCTTAGTATAAACAAAGAACATAAAGATATAGCATGCAAGCACGTGGTTACAGAGTGCACAGGAGATTGGGATAATCTCAGAATACAATATATACGTTACAACTTTAATAGTTGTTATTTACGCTTTGTTAGAATTAAAGATAGTAATAATGCCACAATTAAAAAGAATATAAATTTTTTGCATCAAAACACGTGATTCCATATTTCAATGAGAGGGTTTTACTGCACTATCGTGTCAGACCCAGAATAATCTCAAATTCAATGAAATTGAATATATGGGCTGAATACTCAGTATATTTGGACATAATTATTATGTTTTAGAGCGCAGTGTGTTCTAATTTATGACCTTGTCCTGTCATTGAAGAGTTATCCCCCATTGCTTTAAATGAATAAAAAACAATTCATAAAAATCTTTCTGGTCTCTTTGTTTTTCGAAAAAATAATTAATCTTATTACACAGGAGTACGACCTTAACTACAAGATAAAAACTTTTCTCTCATTTTCCCTTCCTTTTTGTCATATTTCTTTTGATTATTGGGTTATTTTTCAATTCTTTCGAATGCCATTTAATCATTGAATTGTGAAGTGTAGTTACATGTAGTATGATTGAACTAATTATTTCCAATAGGTCTTTGTTAACACAATAAAATGCACTATTCCATCCAAAAATGTTTTCAATTGTGTTTTTATGAATTATTATATCTTCTTCTTTAATATACCAGGATCATCCATAATGCTTTTATCCAAGATTATACAGTATTTGTAATTTTTTTAACCCGCCAACAAAGTTGCGGGAAATTGTTATCAAAGTTTACAACTGGTCATAGGTCAAAAGTATACGGCAAAGCTTTAGTAAAATTAATAATGGTAACTTGCCTTGATTTAATAAACTGATGATTATCTGTGTCTTGAAAATCCTTATTGATTTTCACGGTCAAATTTCACGGTCAAGGACACACTGAAATATCAAAATTTGTGAGTGAAATTCAAATTTGCTTAATTATAATACGTATTGTTTTTATGATAGGATGATCCTAATACAGAACCTCCTAATCCCTGACAAGTGTTAGGTCAAAGTTCACAGGTCAAGATCATGTTGAAATCAATAATTATCTTTCTTTATTGTTTCGTGTTAAAGTTTCTTTATAATTCAGATTTTATATCACTTGTTTGATTAGGCTCAGAAAATAGTTTAAGGCTAAAGTAACAAAAATTAAATTTTCTTTCACGTATTCATTTTCATACTTTGCAAAAATATAATAATGCAATACAGTCAATATTTTTATGATTTTATCTATTTGAATGGATTAATTTACCATATCATTAGGTATTAAGAATCCAACTTAATAAAAGTAAATCTGACGGAATATTATCAGGACATTTGAAAAACAGATATGATGAATTGTGTGATATAAATATCACTACAGGCCCGTAGCAACGGTTTCAAAAGTTGGGGTCCAACTTCCCAAAAATCTAACAAGGAAAAAAAGAGGCCTAGGAGCTACATTGCTCACCTAAGAACTTTAGCAAGGAAAAAGCAGAAATCAATTCAGTATTAAAAAGTTTAAAAATAAAAGTGGTTCGGGGGGAGGGGGAGGGGTATGAATCGAACAAACTTGAATCTACACTTCCTAAGGATGCTTTTGAATTAATGACACATAATGGCTTTGCTATTTTTAAGAACAATTTTTTTACTGATATATCCTTTATATTACTATGTATAACTATGATCCCCTGTTATGACCCTTCTATACTACTGAGTAATCTACATTACCTGGGGATGCTTTTATATTATTATGACCAATCATTGCTTTGCTGTGTTTTTGAAGAATTTTAAAGATTTTTCCTGTACATTCCTATGTGAAACCTCGGTCACCCATTGTGGCCCCAGCCGCCCCACCCTACCCCCAGGGGTCATGATTTGAAGAAACTTGATTCTACACTACTGAGGATGCTTCCATATAAATATGACTTATCAAGGCTACTCTTCTTGAGAGGTAGATTTTTAAAGTTCTTTTTCCCATGTATTGCTATGCAAAACTTTGATCGCCCATTGTGGCCCCACCCTCCCCCTGTAGGTCAGGATTTGAACAAACTGTATTACAAACTACCTGAGGATGCTTCCATATAATTATGACTAATCATGACTTTGCTGTTCTTGAGAAGAAGATTTTTAAAGATTTTTTCTATGTATTACTATGTAAAACTTCTATCGCCAACTGTGGCCCCACCTATCCTTGAGATTCATGAATTTTAACAAATTTGAATCTGCACAACCTGAGGATGCTTCCACATCAGTTTCATATTTTCTAGCACAGTGGTTCTTGTATTAAAGATTTTTAAATGATGCCGTTAATTTTTCACAAATTTTTAATTTTCTCCCCTTCGAAGAAGACGCGACCCTTTTTTGAACAAACTTGACTATCCTTTACCCAAGGATACTTTGTGGCAAATTTGGTTGAAATTGGCCCAGTGGTTCTTGAGAAGAGGATGAAAATGTGAAAAGGTTACAACGACGACAACGACGGCAGACTACGGACAAACTTTGATCAGAAAAGTTCACTTGAGCCTTCGGCTCAGGTGAGCTTTAAAACTTTATAACTGTCCAAATCCTGAAATTTGTCCTCGACCTTACATCAACAAAAAGTGTGTGTGTGAAGGGCGGGGGGGGGGGGGGGAACAAGCATATAAAGGAAAATTTACCATAGCAAAATGTTATACGCAGAAAAAATTAGGGGCGTGTTCTACGGGCTAGCACTAATGCACCTGTAAAATATTTAGGAATATATATTTAGGTATTAATTCGAATTAGTGTTATGCTCAAAAATGGATGGAAAAATTGATAAATTAGAACTTACAATGTAGAATACCAGAAAGTTAACTATAAGGAAAATGTACTGTAATCAATGCTTAAGCATTTACACAATTATTCTGTGGTGCAAGTATTTTGCGATATCCAAGAAAAGAAACTATTAAAAAAATAATGAAAGCAATTTTTTTCTCTGCTGAAAAAGAGAACGGATAGAAAGAAATACTTTAATCGGTAAACAGAATGAAGGAGGGATTGAAATAGTTAACATTGATTGTAAATTGAAAGCGCTCAGGATCGCATGGGTAACACGAATTTTCAATGAAAAACAATCATCCTTTAAATCTTTTTTTTACATCATGCATTTTGAAAAAAAATAATTACACCAAAACGAATATAACCAACGCTAAAGAAAATAAAACTATTATTGAAATAATCACCATTATTATATTGTGAATTTAAGTACACTGAACGAATGTAAACAAACAAAAAATCAAAAACGAGGGAGAGAGAGATGATCGATGCTGAAATATTGTCTCAAACCTATATGGGTAATCAACTTGATAAGATAAGAATTCTCATCTACACAGATTGGCTAGAAAGTGGAATTTTGTATATAAAGGGCCTACTAGTATTTGATGAAAACGGAAATTTCCTTGTTAACAATTATTTTTATAATACTCATATAAACAAATCTAACATGATTGGCGAATAAAAAAAAATTAAAGAAAGCTATGAAACCAATAAATAACATTAAAAATCAAATGAAGTTTTTGTAAAGAAAATAAACAGAAACTACCGATAAATTTGATAAGTAGCAAATTCATCACAAAAACTTTTTAAAGCCCTACTCCGAGAATTTTTTGGTCCAAAAGCTTTAATATCAACCTTGAGGAAATCAAAAATCAGTCAAAGAATATGAAAATTAAAGACAAACAATTAGCTCAGTTTAACTATCAGCTATCATAAATCTACTTAATAATAACAGATCTGTGTATACAGGACAGGTACAGACGTGGATGTTGTCAATCAGGCACAGGTGCAGTCAGGGATGTAGAATGACTTGTGTATACTATACTAGACAGTTACAGTCGTGGATGTTGTCAATCAGGGACAGTTACAGTCATGGATGTAGATTCAGAATAAAGTATGAATACAGGACAGGTAAAGTCGTGCATGTTGTTTATCAGGCGGAGGTACAGTCATGGATGTCTAGTAAAGTGTGTATACAGGACAGGTACAGTCGTGGATGTTGTTAATCTGGTACAAGTACAATCAAGGATGTAGAATAAAGTGTGTATACAGGACAGGTACTTTGTCATTCAGGCACAGGTACAGTCATGGATGTAGAATGACTTGTGTATACTATACTAGACAGATACAGTCGTGGATTTGTTAATCTGGCACAGGTACAGTCATGAATGTAGAATAAAGTGTGTATACAGGACAGGTATAGTCGTGGATGTTGTTAATCTGGTACAGGCACAGTCAGGGGTGTAGAATAAAGTGTGTATACAGGACAGGTACCGTCGTTTGTTTTTGATCAGGCACAGGTACAGTCAGGAATGTAATATAGTGTATATACAGGAGAGGCACAGTTGTGGATGCTGTCACTCAGGCACAGGTACAGTCAAGGATGTAGAATAACTTGTGTATACAGGACAGGTACAATCGTGGATGTTGTTAATCAGGTACAGGTACGGTCATGCATGTACACTGTTTTAAATGTTACTTTTTAGCTATTATGGCGATCCATACAATGGATTTAAGCATAGAAACATGGTTTAATTTTCTTATGTCTTGAGGCAAGTTAGAATATAGTTTCCTCGATATATTCACTAAACCAGTCAATGTTACCTTTTGGCTATCACAGCCTTCCATGCAGCACATTTATTTGAAAACAGATATTGTTTAATTTTCTTTTCTTCATATTTACACATGGGGTATTTTTCTTTCAAAAACAATACGTATTAGCTTATCAACATATTTACCACGCTGAACAATCCGGAAAATCTTGCTCTGATACTACGATTTTGACATTAGTCGTGCAGGTACAGTCATGGATGTCCGGTGACAGCA